GACTGCTGAAGAATTAGTTCAATTTGATAAGTCTGAAACCACAGAAGAAATGATATCTGATGAAGAAATTGTAAAAGCAGTTTTACCTAATGAACAAGAAAATGAAGAAGAAGAGGATCCTTTACCAATAATTACTTATAATGAAGCTATTGAAGCTTATGATAAAGTAATTTTTATATTTGAAACAACAGGAGGAAATTTTCAATGTGAACAATAAAGAATTAAAGCTTATTAAAAAGCTTAAAATAGAAGCTTTGAAAAACCAGTTTATTTTGGCAAGATAAACCAATCTCAATAAGTTTGTTACTATAATTGAATAATAATAGTAATTTTTTTTAATGTAATAACATTAATAATAATTTGTGACCATTTTTATTTTATAATTGTTTTTTTTAACGCAAAACGTTAATAATTTAGGGGTATTTTTTTTTACATAATAAACATAATGATATAATAAAATGGTGTCATGAAAATACAAATTTAATATATTGATTAAATAACACCTTCTGCGATAGTATTGAAATTGTGTTAAAATTGTGTTGAAAAATTCATATCATTTTTTATAATTTTTAACTAATTTGTAATAAATTTTTATTTAAATTCCTATTGTTTTTTTACCAAATTGTGGCATCATTTTTTTATAATAATTTATATTTATCACCTAGGTGATGAATTATTATTATCTCTAATTATATGATTTATTATATTAAAAAATTCGCTTAAATTATATTTGTGTTAATCTAATTTTATAAATAATACAACAGTTAAATTGTTTTTTGAAATCTGAATCAGAATTTTGAACACAAAGAGTTTAAGCATTTCGATTGTGAGTTTGTTGTATTATTCAAGTTTTTACAAGATATCAAATCAGAATTTTGATTTAATAATAAAGAGATTTTTTATGAGATATCAAATCAGAATTTCGATTCAATAATAATGTAATTTATTTTTAAAAGGAAGTATTTTACCATCATTTAATTTTTCACTTTTGAAACTTTTGAAAACATATTATTAATTCAAATTAATTAACATAATATTTTAATATTTTTAATATTTTACAAATCATCATAAAAATGGCTATCGCAAAAATCGTTTGGAAAGATGTAGAGACTGATTACTTGGTTGAAGAAAAGAAGAGATGCAACCATGAATATCATTATTTTTATTGTGAAAATAAATTGAGATTTTGGCAAAGCATTGCAAGAAGAATAAATTGATGATATAATAGCAATTATTCTTCTCGCCAATATGAGCAGAAGTGGAAAAATCTGGTGAGGAATTATGAAATAAGTAAATAAATAAATAATAATATATTGATAAATATAACTTAATAAGTAATTAATATATATTTTTTAGGACTTTTGTGATTGGCCTAATGGTGCGAAATGAGGAGGAAGGTGGTCATATAATGGTGAACAATTTTATAATTTATTCTGAACTAGGTTTTTTAGGAATTTTAGATTTATATTAAGTATCTTTTACATTTTTTAGTTACGAGACATCATCGAAGAAGAGTCTGTAATGTGCTGATGGTGAACCAGTAGTTGGGAGTGGAAAGTAGGGGGTTAATTTTTTTGTTTTTTTTTTTATTTATTTTATTTTTTATCAAGGTTTTAATTTTAATTTTATTTTTATCATTGGGGTTTTATTTTTTTTAATTTATTTTTTTTATCAGAAGTGGGGTTTTTATTTTGTGATATTTATTTTTTTATTGGTTTTTTTTTTATTATTTTTTTTTTAAATTTTTATTTTTTGTTTTTTTTTGTATAAATAAATAATATTAATTAATTGTATTTTGAATTATCATTAATAAATTTTCTTACTTTTTCTTTTGTTTAATAAAGAGATCTCAAACTTTTAAAAATAAATTTATATTTATTGTTATAAATTGTTTTATTTAAGATTAATTCCAATTTTTGCATTACCAAAATTTCTTCAAGATTACTTTAATTTTAACTACAGAGAGATTATTTTATAAAATGACATTATAAAATTAACTTTAATTATATCATAGTAAATTATGTTTGTATTTTCCTTTTTCAGTAATCATTTATTATACCGAATAATTCATTGTACTATACCGAATAATTCGTTATAGTAATAACGAATTTTCTTATAATGAAGTGCTGATCAATCCAGACGCTAACTTCATTATATTGAGATATGACTGTAATAAGCATCAATGGTTTATTATTAATATAGTAATTTTATAATATTCTATTAGATATAAAAATTAAAAATTTCTTGTAAACCAGTTTTTATTTTAAATCAGATTGTAATTTAAATCTGATTTTTATTTAGAAGTCAGTTTAAGCTAAAAAAACTGGTTTATTGAAGAAAACAGTTTACAACTAAATTGTAAAAAGTAAACTAGTTTAAAATTAGTTTCTATTTTTTACCTGACTTAGAACACTAGTAATAATATAGAATATAAAATTCTGGTTTGTATATATAGATAAATTCACAAAAAAAACGATTTTGTAAGATATAAATAAGTGAAACAAAATAAATAATAAACTAAATTAATTTTCTAGCTAAAAATCTTATTTTTTGATCAAATATAATGTATTGTATTATATATATTATTGTAAATAGTCAGAAACTTAAATTTAGTTATATTTTGGCTAATAATCAAATTACCAGCTATATTCTTATCAAATTCAAAAATAAATTTTATCTTACTATGCTCATTCAAGTATTGAGTATAATTACTCTTAATTATATTATGTTTATTTAGTAAATAATTTATCATGCTTGTTGTATTTTCATTTTTACAAGTATATGCATAATGCTTTTTATTAGTTTCTATTAAATTATGCTTAAAGTTATTCTTGTCTAATTAGGTATAACTTCTATTACTATAATGAGTTATTTCATTAGATTTTTATTTTTATTATTATTAATTAAATGTGTAAAATACGTAGTGTTAGAGTCATCATCATCAATATTTGATACTAAAAGTAAATTACAAAAAAGAAGACATTTTATTTCTTTTTTTGAAATCAAGATTATCATGAAATAATAATAATTTTATGCAATTCATTTATAAATTTTCCTATATTTAAAAATCTAGAATTATTAAATATTTATGAGTAATAATCTTTGCTTATAATTAGAAGTATTATTTAAGCCATAATAATAATAATGCGTTAAACTTTTTGATTAATACATTTTTAGGTTTTGAATAATATAAAAAAAGAAAAATATTTTGCCATATTTTGATTTATATATAATATATAGTATAACTTAAATCTATTTTATGTCATTTAATATTATTGTAATGCAAATTAACTAATTAAAACCTATTATAATCCAATATCAATAACCGGTTTCAACTATTATCCAGTTATAAAAAAAGGATTATCAATTTTATAAAATTCTAAACCAGTTATAATTTGAATCAAATAAAACTGGTTATAAATCTGATATTGATATGTAGTTTTTACCTCTAGTATTTATATTATATTGATACCATTTTGATATTAATATCAATATTATATTAATATCATATCTGCATTAAAATAATATAGTAAAAATAAACTTAATAATCTCGATTCAATTATTGTCAAAGTATAATAAAGTTATCATAATTATATAAATTTGATATTGAATCAATATTATTAGAATTTTTTGAATTTCTGTAAAATAATATAAAATGATTATAAAGAAAATTTTTATTAATTTTTATTGATAAATAAAGTGATCAATTAATATATAAATATAAAGAATTTTTAAAATTATTATTTTTTAAATATTAATATAAAATTAATCATTAAAAATTATAAAAATTAAGATATCTAGTAATCATAAAATAATAAAATTTAACTTATTAGATTCATCTAATTATGATACATCTAATGCAATCATAATTATATTTCAATCAAAATTTATATTATTCTAAAATATTTTAAATATTTAAAAATAATTTTTTTATCTAATAATTATAGAAATATATAATTTAATTTATTAGAATTTTTTTATAAAAAAGTATTAAATAGTAGTATTTTCATATTTCTAAGATTAATAAATAATAAGTTATTTTGATTTAAATAATTAGATTATTTTTATAATAATTTTTTATTTATTCTTAAAAATTATTAATTAATAGCATTTTTTTTGGATTTATTTAGAAAATATCATAAAATTTATTATAAAATTTTATAAAATTATTATTTTATTAATAAAATATTTTTAAAAAATGGTTTAAAATAATTTTAATTAAAAAATATAATTGCTTTTAAATTTAAAAGCAAAACTATTATAGTAATAAATTTTAAAACTTCAATTTTAAATTTAATTATTTTTAAACCTTTTAAAAAACTTTAAAATATTAATAAAATATATAAAAAATATATTAAACTATATCTTTATATAATAATGATATTACTAAATTTAATATTTTATATTTTATAAAGAAATTAATACTTACATTTAATTTTGTAAGCAAATTTACCTGAACAATCTATAGAAATAATATTTTAATATTTGTTACTTATTTTTATTTTAAAAATGTAATTATAAAAATATAATTTGATTAGTAAAAAATAAAATATAAAAAAGTTATATTAAATAAAATCTTAATAAAAAAGTATAATTACAGTATATTAAAATTTATAAAAATAGCAAAAAATTCTGTAAAGTTGTTAAATTCAAAATAATTAAAAAAAATCAAAATTAAACTTTAAATTCTATTTTATAGACTTATTATTTTAATTAAATATATTATTATACTTTTATAAATTTAAAAAGTAAAATCAAAAAATCAATTTACATTTAATTAGTAATAATTTAAGATCAAAGTTTTGAATATTTTTTATTTTTAATATGTTACTGCATAAGAATTTTGTTAAGGATATGGGTAAAGTTGATAAGATATAAAATATTTTCTTTATAAAAGCTAAAATTTATAATTTTTATTTATTTTTATATTATTAAAAAAACAAATATTTATTATATAAATTTTATTATTAATTTATCTTTAATAGATTCTATTATTAATATTAAATTTTCAATTTTTTTTTTCTTCCTCCATTAATATCCTCCCTTTTATCTTTTTTTCTATTATAATTTTTATCTTCAATATTTTCATTATCATCTTTATACGTTTTAAAAGATCCACCATTATCATTAGATACACTTAACCCAGGCAAAAATGGTTGAACTAATTCCATTTTTAATTTTTGTCTCATACCTCCTTCTCCACCCCCAATTAAATCTTCGTTTACACTTATTTGTACTATTACTTTATCAAATAATTTAATACTTATAACCTTACCATCTATAACACTTTCTAGACAATTATTATGTGGATTATAAACAATCAAAGGTGCTGAGTTTAAATCTGTTGAAACTTTTTTTGCTTTACCCGATGCCGATGATGAATATACAATTCCTTCTATGCCATATCTAAAAAGGAGGAATAATCAGTCTCATTACACTAACTGTATAATTCATAAACTATAAATAATAATACCTTGGTATTAATACAACGAATCCATTCTTTAATATACGGATGACATATCCTTCGTTTTGTTCGGTTTTTCCTTTAAAAAAAATATTTGTATGCAACTCAACAGAACTTCGAGCTGCCATTTGAGCCATTCTATGTCTATAATTTAATACTTCACAAAGTTGCTGAATTTTCTCTTTATCTATAAGTACTCTACCATATGTTGCATTATGATCTACAGATGCATATAACATTCGGTGTACAATTATATCAGAATATCTTCGAATAGGTGATGTAAAATGAGTATAAATTTCTGAAGCGAGACCATAATGTCTAAAATCTTTTTCTGAAGTGGTACCAGAACAAAAATATTCGGCTTGTGTCATACACCTCGTTGTCAATATTCTTAATAGCTTATTAAAATATGCATCTCCAGGTAACTTTAAGAAAGAATAGTTGGTTATAAAACATTAAAATAAAATAAATAAATATCTTCTCTACCACGATAAAATATACATACCAATGCTTCATCTAACGAGTCTGCAAGAGCCTTTGATGTTTCATAATGTAGTGTTAAACCTAAATGAGAAATAGCCTTCACCAAAAGTTCAAGCAAAGATGTAACCGGTGGATGATGCCGTCTAATAAATCATTTGTATTAGTTTTTATTAATTATATAAAGCAAAAAGAAATAAATTAATTACCTTAATAATGATGTAGCGGTAAACTTTTGATGTATCTTTTCAGCAACAGATATATTAGCCAACAACATAAATTCTTCAACAAGTGCATTGGTTTCTCTCAATTCTTTCATCTCCACATCAACAGGATCTTGTGAGTCATGATCTAATTGAAATTTAACTTCAGGACTCGCAAGTGTTAATGCACCGCGTTCCATACGACGTGCACGAAGTTTTTTAGCCAATCCATTTAAAATTCTAAGGCCTTTTGTAACATCATCATTCAAGCGCCTAAAAAAGTTAATATTAACTTTTAATGTGGTTGCGCTAATTATAATTATTATAAATTGGCTTAAATTATCCTTACTGGTCATCAATACGAAGTTGTGCTGCTTCGTACGTAAAAGATTCCTTTGATGAAATGACACTTTTTGTAAAAGAAACATTGATAATTTCCGCATCTGGATTTAATTCCTAAATACACACAACAATTTTATATTAAAATGCATGTTAATTCAAATTCGAAATCTTCAAAACATATTTAAATATTAATACCCATATGCATGAAAATGCAAGTCTATCAACTTTTTCTCGGAGAGAACATAAATCTATAAAATAATCAAATTAGCTTAATCAAATCAATAATGTTACATTTTAATTTAATTTACTCACTTGATCCCAATAATTCTGGTAACATATCAATACGCTTTTGGACCAAATAAACTGTTGTTCCACGTGAGGCCGCTTCATCATCCAATGGAGTATTCGGTTTAACAAAAAATGTGACATCCGCAATATCTAGGATAAAAATAATTGAATTATTTGGGCACATCAAAAAAATTATTAAAGAATTCAAAAGATGACTTACGAACGCCAACTTCATAATTTCCATTTGGTAGCAACCTGACATGTAACGCGTCATCAATATCCGTACAGCCTAGAAATCCAAAAGAAATGAATCTCATGAAAAATTTATAAATTAGCGTAAATTAACGTTATATCGTACCAGGAGGATCAATACTACAAACATTCAGATTTCTTAAATCAGCTCGTCCCTGTAAATGTTCGTCCCTAACTATCCATGATTCACCTTCAGGAGGTAAACAATTCAAGACTTGCTGAGAGAAGCTTTGATGAGGAACATCATGTTCTAAAAGCAAAACTTCTGTTTCGGTAGATTTGTCTCCTGCGATTCCAAGTGCTCTAACAAAGTGCCCTAATGGAAACCTATATATTTAAATATTTAGATACTAATTATTTGTAAGATTTTAAAGAAGGGAAATACAATTCTTACGTGGAATCCTTTGGCCAAGAATCAATAGCGACCAATATCCTTTGACCCATTAAATTCTGAGCCTGCCTAGTTCTTATAATTATTTTTGGGATTCGCCTATCCATAGGATAAACTGACACATTTTCTGACAAAGTTGATGTATTGGAGCCTTTAACAGATTGTTTGTTAATGAATCCGCAATACCTGTAAACTCAAATTAATTATTATAAACGTTATTAATTAAAAAAGGTTAATTATTATTTTTTTTTATTTATTTTATTTAATACATACGATCTCCAATTCCTCTTGATAATTCCGACAACTTTTCCAGTAGGTCGAGGTGCTTCGAATGATTCATTATCTATATCTTTGGATTGTTCTTTAAGCTCGTCAGCTTTTTGTAATTCCTCAAATAAATTTTTTTCTTCATCTATTTAATTCAAAAAAAGCTAAAATATTATGCCTTTTATATTAAAATCATATAATGAGAGCATGATAATGTAAATATTAACCTTCTTCAACAATTACTGCAGTTGGAGTTCTAAGCCATTCGGACTTTGAAAGTAGCTGAACAACAACAACATCTCCTTGTATAGCCCTATTTAAATTTGGTCTTCCGAGTATCATTATCTGGGTTTCAACTCCATCAATAATACTTTGAATAGATCCCTATAAACATATGTAAAATGTAAAAATAAAAGATAATTATGACAAAAAATATAATTTTTAAGTCAAATAATAATTGCCTCGAGGTAATTGTGCATGCTGATATTCAAGGTTCCCTGATGCAAAGTTTGATTTTTAATCCCATTTGTTATTTGTAAAGGAGACAAATGCTAAATTGAAAATAAAAAAATATAATAAAAATCTATTTAAAACATATGAGACAAATATAATTAATGATCTTACAGCATCATAAACAAATTTTTTATCTTTGTTATCAGAAATAGAAACATTCCCGAGCATATCAATTAATTCTGGTGTATCATTCATTCCTTCAACGTATTCTTTAACTATTATCATCAATAAAATCAATTAATATAATTTATTAATGTCTTGTAACAAATAAATGCTCATAATACCTGAATAAGCCAATATTCCATCTTGCCTAGCTTTTTGTCTGTTTTCTACATCATCCGATAAAAGAACAACTTCAAGAGCTTTTCCTTTATCTTTGATTTGTTTAACATGAGTTGCATACCATTTAGCAGCTGACCTTATAGCTAGCAATTTTAAAATAATAAGTTCTTAGACTAAGTATAAAAAATTCAAATATACATATATATATATATATTGCCAATTTAAAACAAACCTCGATCATTTCTATCATTTGGTGATTCATCCTTCGCTCGTTCAATGAAAGTTTCTCTTTAATTTTATAAAAATTTTTAAACATTAAAATAAAATAAAAAGAAAATAAAATAATAAAAAAACTAAAATTACCGATGATGTTCATTTGAAAAAACATAAAATCTTCGATTTGGATCATTTATTATTGTTTTTAACCTATTATAGATAGGTAAACTTAAATGTCTTAATTCTTCATAAACAGTTTGCAAAATAATAATATCCTTTAAAGCTGGGTGCGCAAGTATATCAATCTAACATGATAAAATAAAATAATAAATATACAATTTTGTTGAAAATTTCTTTGGAATGAAACGTACTTGATTAATTAAAATATTAGTATCCGGAACTATATAATGAGGTTTCAAAACAAGTTTCGTAAAAGCTGGAGAAGAACTTAATATCGGCTCAGTATGAGAACACATTGTGCAGCATTCAATTGAGCACCAAATATCGTCTCGAAGATAGTGCTCTTTTACGACTTTAAAAGCTTTTCCACCTCGACCACGTTTGAGATATGATTTATGGTGAAGCATTTTCGATATAAAATCGAGAGACATCTGATTATTAATTTCTTTGTATAAATAAGGTGTCTTATCTGCCGATCATTACTAAAAATAAACATGTAATTATACGAGGTAATGGTGCAAGTTTTAAAAGTTTTAATTTTTACCAATTCTGGTAAAATAACGGTTCCGGGTATTTTACTAGATAACCAAAAAAATTTTCCTATTTTAGGATCCGGGTATAATTCAACTTTACTACCTTTTTCACATTAAATTTCCGCTTCTGATTGATTACTGTTTAAATTACTTTTAGTAATTTAATTAACCCCCCCCCCCAAAAAGCGGAAATTAATTATTAAAATATGGTGCTGAAAGTCTTAACCCAACAATAAAAATTGTAACACTTAAAAATTTTTCACCTTTTTAAAAAAATAAACCGGTAACTTTATTCTTTAAGATGAGTACTATTAAATTACCAGTCAGATTTTTAAAATAATGTTTACATAAAAAGTTATAAGCTTTTGAAAACAGATGATTTTATATGATCGACATGAATTTGAAACAAATCAAATCACGTGCACGTAATTTTATTGGTCAAAATTTTACATAATTTAGGCCAACATTATAATAACTTAGTGCCAGCCCGAATTATCGTTAATATGTATATTAATACTCAGAAACTCGAATATTTTTTTGATTAGGATAAATTAATTTTTTTTTTTTTAGCCAATTTTTTTTTTTACATTTAGATTCAGTCTTTAAGATGCCACGTAAAACAAAAAGGCAACAATAAATTAGCCAAATACCCCAAAAAAAGAACATTATATGTCTTAAGATCAAGCTACAATCGAAGATGCTGTTGAAAAAGAAGATATTAAAGAAGGGGATAAAATTATTGAAGATAAAATTATTGATGAAGCTGTTAAAAATTGGATGAAAAATGACTTTGAAGTATTTAAAAAAATTGGAGAAAAACTTATTACTGAAACCCTTCATTGGTATAAGCATGCTACAAATAGCATTAGAGCAGCATAAACTGAAAATTCAAGAACATCACAATGGAGGCAAAAAAAAGAAAAATCAGAATTAGAAGAACATGCTAAAGGAATAAAAAGGATTGATACCATTTTCTAATCAGTTCTGGAAATATTAGATTATAACAACCAATTAATATAAAGATGGATCTAAATATGTATTTAGAAAAGCTTAATTAATTATATTCAATAGGAAAATCTAAAAAAGAGAATCATAATATATTTACCTATGATTATATCTGTCTTTTAAGTGTACGTAATTTTATATAACAATTAATAAATGAACAAAGAAAAATGGTCACTAGTAATCAAATTTCTCAGGTTATATGAAATAAAGGAGACTACAGTCAAACCTTGATATAGCGAACCCTTGATATAGCAAATTTTTAAATCAAATATATTAAAATTACCTTTACTATAGTGAACTAGCCAATTAAATTCTTTAAAAAATTCATTATAAGCTTATAACGAAGTTGATATCCAGATCCTAGAATTTGTTATATCAAGAGTTCACTGTACATGGTTCGATGCATTAGAAAATGGGAAAGTCATTATATTCAGATTAATGAGCTTCCTATCCATTTTCAAAAGAAGCATATAAAAATCAAAAGCCTACTGGATGATGAGGATTTTATTGAAAATTGCCAAGTATGGTTGTGCCAGCAGATATCGAAAACTCGTTCTCCTTATAATCTAAAAATATACATTGAAGAAACGTTATTTTTGAAGTTAACAGAAAGTATTAAAAAAGATACTATTTCTAAGAAGACATGCTGAAATTATATGCATCTATAGGGATATAAGTATGATGAAAGAAAGAAAGGTGTTTATTATGATAGACATGAAAGGCCAGATGTAGTAGAGTATAGGAAAGGATGATTAGAAAGAATGTTTATATATAAAAAATGTATGAAAGAATTTGATAGTGATATGCTAGAAATTATATTAGAATTTGAACTTAAATCAGGAGAAAAAGAGTTCGTTCAAGTAACGTACGATAAATACCACTTCTATGTCTGACAAAGAATTTGTATTGAAGAGAAAGAAGATGTTTTACATCCAAAACATTTGGGATATTCTATAATGGTCTCTGGTTTCCTTTGCGTATGTCATAGGCCATTAAATCTATCTGACGAGCAATTATAAGAAAATTCACATGTTAAAGATAAACATACTTATATTCTTCATTCTGTATAAGCAGATGGATAAGAACATATGATTGAACAAGTTTGGTTAATCTTTTTTTATGTATGCATAATAAATGAGAAAAAAATTTTTAAACTAATTTACTTTTTATAATTCAACTCGTACAAAGAGCAATTCTAACATTTGAAATATTGCATCCCAGATGTATTGGCGTTTTTTGTTTTGATCAATCAACCTATCATAACGCTATAGTAGAGGATACATTAATCACAACAAGAATGAATTTAGGACCTAGAAGAATGTAACCTAAAATGCGTAATAGGTGATATATCAATGAACATGAAGATAAATGTACAGTCAGACCCCTATATAGTCACCTAATCGGTTTCCTCAAAACTGGTGATTGTATAGAGGTGTGACTATAAAAAGGTAACCCCTATACAATCACAATCATATTAAAAAATCATGTGCAGTGACTATATAAAAAATCTGTATCACA